CACCTCCGAAACCCCCCGGAGGGGGGGGGGGGGGGGGGGGGGGGGGGGGGGGGGGGGGGGAGAAAAATGTCCTTCCCAAATTGGTTCACCAGGTAGCGGAGGATCGTTCGGCTCAAACCATGCGCCTCTTAGTTCACATTTTTGCATTTATAACCTCTATTATTAATCTTACCTCTCGGTTAATGCGAATCCGTCACGAACGGTCGGAACCCCGCGTCGTGGATTCATCTTCGCCCAAGTGAGAGACGAACCAGTGAGCCTTTCCCAATGAGCGTCCCCGTGGCGAACCCAGAAGCATCTGCGAAACGAGAGCACTCGGATGCACCAGTGCCTGGACGCACTCTGGGGCGAGCCTCCCTCCCCCGCAGGTCTCCCTCCCCTCGCGGCGAGCCCCAGGCCCAAAGCGCCCTTGCGAGGTGTCTCACTGCCTTAGGGACTGGAGGCCTTCATGGCTCGATCCCCATCCGACACGAACGCGTTTGCTTCGACATTTCGACGAGCAGCAGTTGGAGTCGCGAGAACAGGAGCTCGCATCGACGAGCGGTTTCTCGTTCCGATTCCGATTTTAGTTCGAACACGAACCACCTCGTGAATCAGACTGCATCGAGTCGTTTTTACCCCAAATTTCCAGAAGCAAATTCAACGTGCCGTTGAAACCGATCGACTTCATCGCAATTCGAAGTGGAACTAAAAGGACCAGATCGATCGATTAGAATTCCGAAGACCGATTGAGTACACCAAACTCAAATCGGTCGGCGGGCCGCACCGATAATTTTAAATCGAACTTTGTTATTCACTCAGTGTTCACCGTTCCAACTTTGGGACACGCTAAATTTAAGTTTTGCCCATCAATGACAGTTGCCAGCACGTTTTTAAATCTGTGGACGCGTAAAACTATGTTCGAAACAGGCCCTCAGACGTGAGAACAAAATGCGATTTACCTTTTTAAAAAAATGTTTGCCATAGCTCTGGTAAGAAAACTGGAGAGTTGACATGCGGCAACAGAACGCACCTACTCAGGTGACACACATTACACAACATGTGACGACAGGTGACTCATGAAGCCCTCGTGCATGCATCGACTCGTGCAGCCGCAACAGCAGCAGTTGCGAAGGTAGCGACGACAGCAGCTGTGTCGTTCGAGATCGCACGCCTGTCTTCGTGTCTCACCCCCTCCCCCCTCCCCCTTCCCTCCAATTATTGTTGAAGAAAGGGAAAACCTTTGGAAAATGGTTTTCGCGTTTCTAAATTACCACGTATATAATGTTACCAGGCTAGTCCTCAACCAATCTGGAAACACTTCGGCATTCTTTCGTTGATACGAACTTATGTCAGTCAGTTGATATCAGTCGCACTGAAGCCAGGGGGGTAGGGGGGAGAGGGGGGGGGGATAGGAGGGCGAGGGG